AAAAAAAAACAGCTTTACACCTGAGCAGCGACTGATTTGATGATGAATGAGCGCGAAATAGACCTTGAAAATAAATTATTTTTCAAATTGAATCCATAAAAACATCAGGCTCACATCAGAGGGGGGGTACGATGCGATAGCCAGCCATTCGGGCGTCTGCCTAACGCCACTGACTGCACCTGTCTGACGAAGCCTCTACAATAAAAACAAATATTGCAGGTGAACCCGCTTGCTCGGCTAACCACCGAATATGGTGCTTCAAAAAGGTGTAGCCCTGTGGACCGCAAATGTGAAGAGCTGCTCTGAACCTCAGTAGGACCTGGCGTCGTGCCAGCGTTGATACATCTGCAACGGGCTAGACTCAACCCTCTCTCATAACATCCGAGACAACATTTTATGAGACATCATCATTTTTCAGTTTGCCTCTCAACGTTATTCGAAGGCCCACTGTGTGAGGCTCATGGGGTAATCTAGTAAGTTTGAGCCCCAGCAGCGCTTGTTTCTAAAATTATCTGCAGGGAATTTTGAAAAAGGAACCTTTCTCACTCACTTAAACAAAATTTGCCGAAAAAAAAATAAACAGTCTGAGCACTCGAACCTAAATTCCGTGCCAACACGACCGTGATCGTGATCGTCAACAGTCCGTCCAACCTATCAGCACGCCACATCTCCTCTCTGCTATCCCTACTTCATTACAGTAACAGCTGATAGCGTTCACTGGTACCAGACCGAAGAAAACCGGCCAATTAAGCAGACCCTCAAAGCGATTCAGAACCTTCACCTTCAAGCCTCATTATCGACCTTTCGCTTTCAGTACTGAGGTTCATTTCAGCAATTCTCCAACAGTAACCCTCCCTTCACCACCATGGACTTTATATACGATTCAATGCACATTAATCTATTATTAGTAATGTCCAGGTGGAGCTCACAGCGGGACTTCCTGTGAGCATGAGGTCGTCACGTCCTTATGGGTTCTTGACCATCTTAAGGAACATAGAACACATGTTTACAATCAAAAAATCTGGTAATATCCCTAATTTGTGGTAATAATCAACAACTTTGTATCTAAATACATAATCAATATAATAATCGACAATTTTCCTCATGCAATAATGATGTTGGTCTCTACAGCAATCCGGAACACTTGACAAATAAAATCTATAGTATTTTTTATAGTATGATTACTTCAAACTTATACCATTCGAAAATGACCAAACAACCTTCGATGGACTAGAACAACAAAGAAAAAATGAGAAACTTTCTGAGGCAAAAGCGAACTCATTCATAGCTGCTTGCCTACTGGAATCGAAAAAAAAANAAAAAAAACGTTCTGGAATCTTCTATTTTAGGAAAAATAACAGCAAGTATGACATTTTCCAATGGAAAGGAGAGCCTTAGCCTGAACTATCAGCCTTAATCTACTCAGAAGAAAAACAATTTGCTGTGATAAATGATCGCAGAATTAATATAATCCATGAATTCGAGGTAATCGTTCAATGGGCCGTTCAGAATAACACAAAACATGTTGTTTTCTATTCCGTTCCTTGCTGAGAACTCGACAGTCGTGTTCATTATTTTTAATGAACTGCTTTTCGATCAAAAGCTAGCAAAACGAACTAGAAAAAATATTCCGAGAAGTCAAGATAATTGACCAGGAATATCCTCGCTTACATTCACCATATAAAAAATTACATAAAAAATTTTGTAAATTGAAGAATATTTCAGTATGAGGGAGGAAAAAATAAAAATTATATAAAAATGTGTGAAAAATAGACAAAAACTCAACTAAACAAACTGAAATGGTATGCGACATAACTAAGAGACTCGCGAATATATGAATTGAAGTGCGTCTCCAGATCATCAGGAAATTCCCATATGATTAGAGTAGAAAATGAATTTCATCTATAAATTTCATAGAATTAGGGTAATTCTCTTAATTATTTACGCTAATGTATTTACGAAATTCCTGAGCTCTGAATAGGCCAGACAAGCGTAAAAATATAGGGGGNGGGGGAAGTACGATTACCCGAAAAAAATGAATCAAGTCTGATATAAACATTTCAGACTGACTGCTTTCGATGCATGGAACCCAAGAGAAGACCGAATGAAGTGCGCAGCCAGCTGGCAGCAGCATGTTTGGCGGTCATACGGTCGTTAGTTCCCAAATGGGAATGAGCTGGCATGGAAAGAATGAATAGGCGAAAACTAAGCGCGTAACGAACAGGCAACCCCGATGCCTAAACGTATGAATAGAACGTTTTTATGGCTGGGAACCGGGTTCGAATTTGGATGGCGACGCGGGAAAAACTTGCAGAGGAGAGGCGAGAAGGAATATGAAAAGGGGAATGAAATGAAATGAAACGGAGGAGGTGCGAATGATTAAAGTGGACAGGACAGGCTAACCGGAAGCAATTACCAAATAGAAATTGGAGAAGCAACTGTGGGCACACACCAACAGACGTCAACAGAAAAGAACATCTGCCATATGACACTCGACCAGCATAAATTACATATCACTAGTATATGATGAGCAAATGGTCTTCATTAAACTGGTAGAGCCTGAGCGCCTTCATTCAAATTCGAATAAAATTGAAAAAAAATAAATCTAAAAAATCCATTCAAACCCTCTAAAGCTCTTGGAGTTCAAATAAAACTTCAGGGAATGATACGAAATGCCCTTCTACATGACCTGTTGGACTCCTGTTGTCACTTCAAAATTTGGAATTGAAAAAAAAACTCAAAAAATACCATAGTATTAATTGTTTGTGTGAAAAGTGTTGCCTAAGAGCAATGCTGCAAAGAACCAAGGACAATCCTTAGGAATTTTACGATTTCCGTGCAAAAGGCCGTAAACGATCTCAGCCAATACCGTGGGACTTTCCAATAAAAAGTTCAAATAGGACCCTCAGTAGACGGTAAACGGAGAAAGAGAAATAAAGTGGGCAAAAACCGACTTTCAAAAAAGCCGTTAATGAGATTCCTTAAGAAATTATTCAAGGGGATCAGTAATTAAATGGGATTTTTGAAAGACAGTACACGGGAAACCATCAAAAATAGCCATTCCAGATTATAGTTACAGACCAATCAATAAATCGATCAATAACAGAAATGTAACTGCTCAGATTCCTTTGTAGTTACAAGGGTGAAATGAATACAAAATGATGATGAACCTATGCGCTACCTAACGACCCAAGAGATAAGTCAAATAACTACAACTGGTTATCAGAACATATCACCACGGTCTGAAGTACCACTCACTTTAATAGCCAGTCAATGCCCAAATACTGGCAAAACGATAACTCATGCATTAACTGATCCTACTAACTCGGCACGCGACATATCGTGATCCGTCTAAAGCGATTGGGGTC